CTCTCCATTGCCTTTATCCCAAACCAAACATAACCTAATTATAATGATGAAATAAGAGTGTAATTAATTACCTAAAAGACAAAAACTATCCTTCTTCTCTTTCTTTTTTTTTTAAAAAAAAATTTCAAAAGAAGATAGTGCGATTTAAAAAAAGAAAAAGAAAAAGAAAACAAAAGAATACATTTTGTCAAGTGTAGTTAGTCTTCTTTTTGATAAACTATCAAAGTTTGAAAAGTATTTTTTTAATTATTTTTCAATGAATTAGTATTAACTTACACTAAAAGTTTCATTTGTGTTAAGTATTCTTTTATTATTTTCTATTAGTGTAAGTATTACACCAATTATTAGCTACTCATTTTTAAATTTTAACAATTAATGTAATATTTGAATTTTTAAGAGAAACACTTAAATTTTAAAGCATATAGCTGAAAATTTTAATAGATGAAATTTAAAATTTTTAGATTTGACTATATTTTTAGAGTACACAAATAATAAAATTATTAAAATATTTTTATAATGAAATAACATAACCAAGAGATTTGAAAAAAAAAAAATCTTTTTCAAAGACATATTCCGCATGCAGAGCAGGGCTTGGCGTGATGGACCCGCTGATGGTCTGTTTGTTTAGTAGACGTCGGCGTGAGAACCCACCCACCTACCACGAGAATAAGAAAGTGGGGAGATTCGCATCTTCTTTTCCACCTTACCCTCCACAACATATTTTCTGCAACAGAAAATGACCATCTCTATCTACCCCCGCAAAATTTATTATCGAAAGTGAAAGATTGCGGTTGAGTACCAAAGCCCGCACGGAGTTTGTCAGCATTTTATGCAAGAACTTTGAATAAGGAAAATTACAGTGGAAAGGAAACGAAGCCAACTCATGATTGGAAAAAAATATTAATAATTTGTAAGTTTAGTGTAAATATTCAAGTAGTTGATATGGTTTAAATTCTTAACTAATTCTACTCAAATATTAAAATTTAAGAACGAATCATTAGATTTGAAGAATCAATTCATACAAAGACTTGAATGATCAAAGGAAAATTAAGGAGTATTTAATTTTTTTTCTTTAAAGAGAATGATAAGTTTTATTAGTCAAAAATTCTAGATGTCAGATACAAAATATGCCCAAGCATACCCAGAAGCCAGAACTCTCAACGGATATCCTAACCACTCGTATTGACATAAAAAATAAGTTTCAAATTCTACCTAAATTATGGGAATAGTCACCATGTTACCAACAAAAAGTCTTCTTTTCCGCTCCCCTCCAATTCTCATACACAACAACCATTGAAAAAAAATAATAATAACAAGTTCTCTCATACCTAAGGTGCCTCCATTCAAACTAATTAGCCAATATGATTTTTATGGTTATAATTATGACGGCTATTAAATTTGTTAAAATCATTAAAATTATCAAATTTTTATTATTTTAATTTGACATTTAAAAGTAATTGATAATTGATAATTGATAAATTAATTAATATTTATTATTTAATAGATTAAAGTTAATTTTGTTAAATATTATAAGTAATTATTTAAAAAATATAAATTAATAAAATTATGATTAAAATTAATAATATTAATATAATTTTTAATGACAATAACCTTGTCAATTTTGACAAGGACATGAAAAAAAAAATTTCAAAGAAGCCCATAATAAGATCTCTTAAGCAATGCAAAGGGCTGAGTAGTACCCAATATCGGCTTAAGCTTTAAATATCCGTGTACATGGGCTGCCTACCTTTCTTAGCCCAAAAAAATTGATTTTGTTTTTCCCCTGGCATTTTCCTTTCTGGGCTTGAACTCTGGGCCTATTTAGGTTGCAACGGTAGTAGCTCTTTTGTTTTGATCAGAAGTTCATAACACACCATTAGAGATTCAGATCACAACCTTAATAATGTGCCCCTTAAATTGAAGCCTTCGACCAACCTAGAAATGCCTTAGTGAAGGGTAAGTGTCCATCAACATATGTCGGTATTGTGCCTCTTTTGATTGTGCTTTAAGGGCAACCAAACCTCTTGCTCCCTTCCACGTAAAGCACTACCTGAATCTAGGAAAAAACCCCTCATCTTACCTTTCTATTCATAACACCTTCATAATTTCATTTTTTTTACACACAAATCTCATAATTCCCTTTCATTCTCACTCTCATATTTGCCGCCTAAATTCGAATCACCTAACTAAAATAACGTCTAACAGTCTTACTGCATCCTAAAAACGTCCTATACCAATGGAACCACGATCCATCCCCACATATGCCCCAATCCTTTAAAAGGAGGGTCGGCAGCACAGCAAAACTAGACAAAGTCAAAGCACAAAAACAAGTTAATTAGGTTGTTCCTTCTCACCTTTAATATTATCCTAGCTAGGTAGGCATCATTATCTAATTTGTTGTATTTTGTTCTAATTTGCAGAAATGTTGCAGAACGAGGTAATTATGTCTGAAGAGGAGCTGAGGATTCGAGAAGAGCTCGAATGTGAAATAGAGAGAGATTTGGAGGAAGAGATCAAGGACGGGATATACCACTATGCTCTAAGATTGCACCGGCTATATCAACACAAAATGGAGAGGCATGCAATTACACGAGAGTGCAAGACACTTTACGAAGTGAATATATGCATAAGAATGGAAGGTGGAATCAAGATTGAGATAAAAGAGAAGACCAAGATTAAGGAAGCTCCAGAAAAAGGACAGCTGACGACGAGCGCTAGATCACTGAATGCACAAACGTTTAATGCCAATAAGAAGTTTGATTGGGCAAGGAGCTTAAGGTCAGGAGCAGGTAGTCATCCTGTGGTCGTTAACAAGAAAAGTGAAAGAATGCATGGAGCAGCTAAAACAGTAAGTGGAAATAATAAGTTGCTTCAACTGGGATGGAAATGAAAAGACTACTTGGGCCGGGCTTGGAATATTATTACTAGGTTATGTAATGTCTGAATGGACAAACGGAGTTTTTATATAAGCATTTATGATGGTAGGTCTGGGTGAGATGTTTGTCTTTGAAATAAATGTTTGTCCAACAAATGTTGCTTGTGTTTCTTATTGCAAATTTCATGCCATGGGCCATGGGCATATAATGAAACAGGAGATAATTATTTTTCTTTTCTAAATCTATATCAGTTTATTTTAAAGTTAAAATATCTAAAATTTTTTTTAAAAATTTAAAGTTCTTTATCAGTTAAGACACTTTTTTGTTTATTTAAAAAGTTCAATTCTAACCTGATTTGGGTAGTATATTACATTAATAAAAAAGTATGGGGCAGGGCTGTGGCATCTGAATCCCACAGGTTAAAAAAATTGCAATATATTTCTGATAGCGCAAAAGATTTGGAGAATACAAGTGGATTGTAGGTTTATGGAGATGGATCAGTTGCTTGTGAGAATGGTCATACTCATAGTCCTTAGAGTAGGGCTATCAAAGCACAAAAAGAAAAGGAATCCTTACAAATGCCAGAAACTTCTTTTAAAACTTTTTCTTTTAGATTCTTCAAGAGTTTTTACTTTCCAAAAGTTGACAATCCAGACGAATATAATGAGGTCCCCTTATGGAGACTTTGGCTTCCCTGGCCTGTTATATATTGTCTTACATACATCCTCTTCACTTGGTGCTTCATCTACAACCCAAAATACCAGAAGGGCAATAGGACATTTTACACAGGTCCTAAAAGAGTTGAATAGCTTGTGCTGCAAAAGGTCGTACAGAAAGTATCTGTAAGCACCTAACCAATTCCGCTCAACTCACGTGCAAGGGTGCAGGCATGTGGCTAACAATTTACCAAGTTAGACAAAAAAAAAAATTTGAGTCCTGATAGTATGTAAAAATTTGTATGTAAAAACATCTAATTGAAGGTAATAAATAGAGTAGCACATATTATATATAAGTTCATAGGATCCTGATCCCATCAAAATGGGATTTCTCATTTAACAGTGGATATATATACTTTTTGGCTTTAGATCGAGGATGTCCGCAATTTTTTTCAATGAATCAAAAATTCAACGTAAAGATACTATAGCCCTAGCAAATAAACTCTAGGGCGCAAAAATGAAGTAGGAACCGAACAAACATCAAAAAACTTTCAAAATGCAACACTCAAACTTCACAAAAGGCATTGACTCACAGCAAATCAATTGAATTTCCAGCGAAATACCATACGGACCAAGTACTCACAAAGACATACAAGACCAAACTCTGCTCGTACCAGGCTAACTACCCCTTTGGATTGCAGGGCACAAGCAGAGGGAACTGTGTTTTCAGAAGTACAGATTCATGGACCCACCATTAACTTTTTCACTTTGCAAGAACAAAACACATGATCTACAACCTTTTTCACAGAAAACACAGATCGAACTTCACCCTCGGATAGGACCTTGTGATTCCAACTTGGTAGCTGGCAAGGAGGAAATTCAAAATTAATACCCGGCCAAAGAAGCTGACTATAGTGTACAACTTGATCATTAATTAATTCACAGAAAGCTCTACATGTTAGACTTTACTTCAGCTTAAAATACACGTTCAAAATAAATTGGTTTGGTGGAAGCTACTAATGAGTTGCATTTAGGTGAAACAAGAACAAAGTCATGTGATTCATTAAATGACAAAATTATCTCAGAGATGTACTAACAATGGTCAGGGTTACAGGACACAATTTTATCTTATAAATATCTAATAATTTTATATAATAGTAATTACGATTAACTATTTTTATTTGGGATGATTGGTAAGTATTCACCTGTTAATATTATACGATTTTATATTGATTATTATTTCTTACTAGACTGTTATGAAACAAAATTATGTATATATGAGCTCCCTAACAAGTTTTTGATAAAATTCAACCCCCAATTTCACACAGTTTTGCGTCATTAATATATTTAGGGGTGAGCAATGAGTGTAGGTGTATCTCACACCTTTGAGTACCTGATTTGGTTATAATGGTATATATTTTACCTATATCTAACAGCAAATGGTTAAGTACTGGGTATAAGCACCTACACTTGACTTGTTTTCCTGAATATGTTGAATTGCTTTGACAATTATCAGACATTAATGCCAATGATCAGACGCAAGAAGTTGTGGCCATTCGAAACTTTTTGGCTCCATAAGTCCAGGTCAATAACATTTGAGCAAACATGCAATTCTGGTTTAAGTCTTCCATTATTATGTATGAATGCACTATATAATGTGTTTTGCATTATATAATATGCAAGTATTCTATTGACTTAATTATGTACCATGTAATATGTTTAATCCGTACTTGTACCTATTAATCACTAATCCACTATTAATATTCACCGATTTCTTTTATAAAGAGGCCAAGAATCACATGCAGCTCAAAGTAGTGGGTCATGGATGGCCTAGAGATCATAAGGACATCTTACTAGAGATGGCAATTTATCTTGTAACCCACAGAGATCACCTTTGTAAAAATAAAAATTAAAAGAATATTCTTTTTCGAAAAGCAAAAGGAGAGGCAAATTTTTTCTCATGAAATATTACAAAAAAGTTTTCCATCTCCATGGGACCCATGAGAACATGTTGCCATCCTTACATTTTATCTATAAGAATTAAGAAGCAACAAAACAAAATAAGACAAAGAAACTTTCATATAAACAAGATAAGGTCCTGCAGAAATAAGCAACCCTAACCCTAATTAGTTTGGACCATTACCCTTTTCAGGTTACCTTAATTAAAGCCAAAAGTCCCCACCTTAGAAGTCTGTTTAATTAGTCTAGAATAAGAATAAAGCCAAGAGAAACATATTAAGTGAAACTAGGTAAGAGAAAAGGATGCATGATCAATCACTGTCCGAAGCAATTACTTTGACCAAGATTCCCAACAGGACCATGTTTTCCTTATGCAGCTTTAACTGAGACTGTGTAGTTTGATTTCCCGAATCAAGCAAAGTATATATTCATTAATATATATAGTATTATCTTTGTTGGGGAGGTTGGATACTGAAACAAGCAAATTAACATCACAGATATATCTTGCTACTGATCTTGAAACATCAGGATCTATATATGTGTGTGTGGTATAGAAAAATTGGCCAAAGCATGTAGCTCTGGTCAAGTCTTACCTAATTCAATGAATCAGGTTCCCCTTTAGCCTGCAATGAGTTAATTAGCCTTAAAATTCCATTGATTAAGACTTCTAGAGTGGACGAAATGTTACCAGACTAAAAAAACCATACGAAACCGCATTGATAATTAAGAACTGGATTGATGAATAATGCGAAGCTCGAACTCGACTCAACCTCAAATCCAACTCATTGACATAAATAAGCTGATGAATTAGTGAGTTTTCTGAATACAGTTGTACCTGAGTTCAGTTCATTATTTTTCATACAAACTTGTTTTGTGAGTTTTGAACTCAGGTTGATCATCAAATAACTCTGAGTATGTATATTGCCTTGTTTCCAACTGTGAATGCTACCTTGAAAGAGATATGAAGAGACAAAATCCAAAGAGATCCCATTCCACAGATATAACTTTAGGCACCACAAGAGCTGAACATTTTTTAGTTGAGAAGTTGAAGAGTTGCAGACAAAACTTGTGTCTCTCAAGAGGGTGATTTGGGTGCATGCCTTCTTGTTGCTAAAGAGTGAGCCCACATGTTTCCCTTGGAGCAATTTAAGATCATAAGGAAAAAAAAAAAAGAAAAACCCCATGAAAGCTACATGACATCTGGGTTCTCTATACCTTTGCATCAAGCTGATAATTGTAGCTAGAGACAACTGAAAGCTTCATATATAATATTATTTCATTTTACTGATAAAAAAAAAAAAGAAGATATTTTGAGAGGGGAAGAAAATTAAAGATATCTCAGGATTTGTATTTAAGACTGCAAAAATAAATGCACCAGTACTACAAGAAAAGACCACTAACTCGGCAATTGCAGAACCGGGACCTGGGAAGTAAGTAGGTTCAATAATGGAGCTAACATTAAAACCTCAGAACGTAGCCACCAGAAGAAAGGAAAATGCACAGAAGAGACGGAGAAACGCAAGGGAAGGCAGAAGAAAAAGTAGTGTCTCCAAATTGCAGGAGCAAAAGCTAGCCCAAAAGAATCCACATTGAATGGAGAGGAAGCAATGTCGAAAAGAGCACACAAAAAGTGCACCCATTCAATGCCATGCCATTCATATATCCATAGAAGAAGTAACAGACTCATTCCAGAGAGACACGCGTAGAGATGCTTACATAAAGGGTAAATGCAGCAGGTTTTTATGCCGTCTTGCCTCGTATGATACAAACCTTACACCCTCAACTTGTTTATTTTCACTCTTCTTCGGTTCTTCCATCTCCTTCTTGCAATGAGAATAAAATCCTACCTCAAAACACTTACTCAATATATGCCCATTTGCACTTTCTCAAGAAAATTAACCAAGTTTTAGAGATGGGATGAAAATTAAGACTAAAAATACTCATTAAGTAACATTAATCTAATATATAAATCAAGTTCATATACTAACCATCCCAACACCATTACTAGCACCAACCATTAGAAAGAAGAGGAATAAAAAATGAAAATGACTAACTAAAATCCCTACAATGTGGTAGTGGAATCCCCATATCAGTGGAATCCCTGAGATCAAGTCAGCCTTCCTCACTCTCTTCAAAATGCTTCATGTCATGATCATCACCACCTGTGTTTTAGTACAGTACCTACAAAGATGGAGAAGTTGTTATCTAGGGTTTCTTACCAAGGGTATGCTTGTTGTTATGCATCCAAACCTTCAAGACCTGCCTCTTCACCCCTGTCTCGTTGCAGAACTGCTGCACCATGTCCTCGTCTTGTTTCTGAATCCTCCAACCCAGCTGCTCCGCTAACCCCAGCATTTTTTCCTTCTGCTCCTGGGTAAACTTGGTCCGGAACCTCTTCCTGGAGCTTCCCTGATTAGACAAGTCTTCTTGATCCTCCCTGCTGTGGCCTCCACCTCCCGTAGGAGACGGCAGTGCCAGTGGCCTCTGCTGACCCGCCACGTGGAGGTAACCAGCCGGAGCACGGAAGAAAGGGGGGAATTGTGGGGCCTGATGGTGGTGGAAGAACAAGTCCCCCGGCCCGGGCCCAAACTCGGTTTCTTTCCGGTGAAAGTTACGATGGCAGTTGCACGCCGCGCATTTCAGCGCGTCCAGACTGCCTTCCAGACCGGCCGCCATGAACTCGCCGCAGCCATCAACTGCGTGCCCTCCGATCCCCACCGCGTGGTTCTTCAAGCACTCCTTATATTTCGGCTTCCTCGGCTGCTGCGATACTACCCCCACCGGAGTCGCTCCCGCTTCTACAACACCAGAACTCAGCATTTTCACTCGACTCGCGTTTCCCAGTGAATCGAAACTCGGTGCCAGACCCATCTCCTCCTCTTGCTCCTCTTGATCCTCAAACTCCATTACCAGAATTCCCAAAAACAGATTAATTAATATCCACCTTCTTCTTCCTTTGCACTAATAATCCCAGAAATAAAATTAAGAGAGAAGATAACACAAGAAAGAGAGGATCGCCATGAATTTTCCCTCTCTTTCTCTTTCTGCAATTGGAGCTGTTACACTTTCCCGTTGATGAAATCCCTGTCTTAATAACCTCATCACTTCCTTCCTCCCTCCCTAATTTCACCCCCAGTCAACTGTAAAATTTTCTTTTTTTTAATCTTCAATGGTACGTTTGGTTTCAAGAAATTAAAGAGAAAAAATTTTTCGCCCAATCAAGTTAAGGCGTTGAGTATCTTCTCTTTCGTTCCCTTCGAACCAAACATATCCTAAATTTTACCTTTTTTACCGTGTGGTGAAATATGGTAGGGCAGGACCAGGAGGTTGTGTGTGGCGGTATACAAAGGACAAAAGAAGGGAATCCAATAGAACACGCGCTGGAGAGGCGCGTTATTTTTCCACAGAAACTTGATCGTACGGGCGTGGGCCATTTCAGATGGTGTACTGGCACGCATCCCCGTAACGGGAAGGGTGGGACCATTGCGGGCAACAATAAGTGGCGCGTGAGGTTGCGCGTGAATGATCGTACGGAGGTGGAATGAACACGGAATTACTTGGGGTGAAGCCTTAAATTGTCTGCAATAAAGGCAGCTGAGTACGTGTGGTGGTGGTGTCCAACATGGGTGACGCGCGTTTGGCGTCAATGAGCATTTAATATTTGCTTTGTCTTGTAATAAGGAGAGAAAATTAAGGGTAGATAAGGCTACAGGAGGTTAAGGAAAGGGATTACGATTCTTAGGGTAATTCAATTTAATGATTTTTTTTTTTTTTTGAGTTTGTCTAATTTAGAGGGTAATAAATAC